GCAGCGTGATATTTGCAAATGATTTACTTCTCTATGCTTAGTTTCCTTATCTGTCATAGGAAGCTAATAAGAGCACCCAGCTTACAGAGTTGTTATCAGGACTGCATGAGTTAATATATGCAAAGGGCTCAGAAGACTGGCTTTTACTCTCCAAATATTTGCTAATATTTTAATAATAATGGCAAAACACCCATCTGGTCCCTCCACTTCCAAGCTTATCAACTTCCCAGTACATTCTTTCTACATTGTGACTGGGGAATTTTTTTCTAAAATGCAAATGTCAACATGGTCCTCATACATTGACAGCACTCCTTACTGCTTTCAGAGAAAAAAATGCAGCTTCCTTGATCTCCCTCAGTTTACTTCTCTAATTCCATCTTTCACTGTTCTCCTGGCTTTGATTCTGAGATTTAGGCTATGCATTTAGGTATATCCCACTCCCTGCCATGACTCCTGGCAAATATACATGTTCTTTGAGCTGTCTGGAGTATGCCCTGTTTTCTTTATTTTGAAGACTTAGCCGTTATCATCCCATTAGAGCCATCCTGCCTGTGTTTCAATCGTGGATCAACTTCTACCAGCTACGCATAACCTTGGGCAAATTACTCAAGTTCTCTGTAGAATTTATAAAATGGGACTAGCCATAGTAATTATCTCATATTGTTATTGTTGGGACTACGTTAATACACATAAAGCTTAAACAATGCCTGAATTGTAGTAAGCATTCAGCAAAATCCTTAAGAAAACTGCAGATGCTGTATTTTGCCCTCATCCTGTCCCTGCCATGATTTTAATATTTTTCTTGTGTATTTCACTAGTGCCCTGGCACCTTAGCCTCATGTGTAGCAAAATATGAAATACAAAATATAACTGTGTGTTTATCTGTCTCTCTACCCACCAAACTCTCGTTTCCTTGAAGCTACAGACTGAATTACATCTTTTCTCTCTTCCCAATGGCCTGAACCCCATCTGCTATATTACCAGAACTCAACAAATATTTGTAAAATAAAGACGGATGAACATTCTTATCCCCCAGAAGAGAATGTGAAAAACAGTTGTTACATATTTTTGAATGAATGGATAAATCTATTAATCATACCTTGGTATAGCAGGAGTATGCTCTAAAGTGACTTAGTAAGAAAACCAGCCCGTGGTAGAGAGTGGAGGCTAAATATTATTTCCTTTCTTCCTTTTTTTTAATTCTTTGTTACTAATTAAATCCTTGATCACATAATACAATGTTTGACTCATGTGTGCTCAACGTATGTGGTGATGAGCTTAATCGCCTCTGAACATAAAGATGACTGGTGAATGTCTGATGGTCATAGTACCGGATTATCCTTCTCAGAAGAATTCCAAGCCTTGTATCCATGCCATTATTACTGTAAACTATTTAATTCCAGCAATAACTGTGAATTGCCAAAAACATGAAGCAATAAGCTAAGTTTTGATGCTATGATAACACCGAGGGCAATATTTTTTTAGTGGGTAATGTTTCTAAGAATAAGTGTGGCCAAATGTTTGCAGACAAGGGTTAGACAAAAATAAATGTGTTACCCAGAAGCCTTACAAGATGGATGCAATTCAGTTTGAAATGATTATTTGCCTAAAACACTACTATTGCCTGTTTGGAACAAGAAGAGGACAGGTTGGTGAATTATTTCAGAAAGTGTTAAAAATTATACTTAGCTTAAATGTATCTTGTTTTAGTAGGAAAAGTTCTGTGAAACTAAACAAAAATAATCCCTACATGCAAAGATGGATTTACAATTCCTGGACCAAGCACATGTTAGGGAAAGGATAAATTTCCAGCCAACACTTCTTGAGAATGCTTTTATCATGTAACTTTAGTGAGTTATAAATACTTTAGAAGGCATAAAAGTAAGTAGACTACAATTTTTTCAGCATTTACTACGGATAGGCACCGATGCTATATGTTTTATAAAAACTTCTTTTAATTTACTATAAACTCATCAGGTATGTATTATGATCCCATTTTGGATAAGAAAACTGAGGCTAAAAGAAACTGCTTGGATGACTGTCAACAGTTAAATGCTCTTGAGCACTGTATTCAGACATTTTCCATGAAAGAAGTTTGCTTATAGATAGCACTTAATAAATTTGTGTTTAATTGAACCTTGTCACTTGGAGGAGAAAGAAGGCACTAAAGTTTAATGAGTCACCTATGTCATGTGTTGTTTGCTTTTATAGGCAGTACCTAATTTAATCCTTTCCCTATCACTGAGAAGTAGACATAATTATCCTGACTTTATAAAATGATGAAACATCTTCATAAAGTTTCAATTAGTTGCTGGCAAGACAGAAAACTCACTAGAAAATTTCTTCTCTTACTTTGTAGTGTTACATTCAGGCTGTCTCCGTAAGTGATTGGGTCAAGCTGGAAATGGAGGACCCTTAAAGTCAATTAAACATTTTGGCTTTTGTATTATAACATAGCTCATGAAGATTTTGGAAAATCTTTTAGATTACTTTTTGAGTTCTTAAGATACACATTTTTAAAAATCGATGCATAAAAATCAATTGTGGTATATTGGTTTTAGGCGTATTTGCATATATTTAAATGTAAAAGTATAACATTTGCATAAAAAACCTTGATAAATAATAAATACATTTGATAAATGAGTTGTTGGTCACAAAAGTAGGGAAAGGTTTTACTTACATGTTTTAGAATTAGGATGAAATAAAAGTTCATTTTAGTGACTGATTTTAATCCAGTATTATGGTATGAGTTATTTAAAATTTCAAATTCACCATAATAAAGACTGTGACACCAGTGAAAATGAAGATATGCAGAGAATTAAAATCTTGATAGAAACCTTATTAAGAGGCATTTTCCATTTTTGTGTCTTTTATGAGTCCTTAATAATCAAATATTTGGTCAGAATATTAACTATAGAATTAAAGAAAACAACAATTAACAAGAAGCAAATAAAACCTATGGTTATGAGAGCACAGAACCCACTGGAAAATGGGATAATAGATTTACATGATGACCACAAGTCCTGCAATTAAATCAGAATTTATTTTAGGATTGTATCATTAAAAAGAAAATAAATGTCAAGAGGCCTGAAGTATTAGACAATTTGTCTCTCTTATTTTTGTTTGTTTTGGATATGCTATATCACAAAAAAGACACAGTTACTTTTCACATACCCTGAGATGCTACATGGGTAGCATCTAACAGTATCATAATTGTTCAATAAATGTTTCTTGAACAGATGTTTGGTTGCCTGCTGTTGCCCCCAAACTCCAAACCTCGCCAGGAATTTTACTTTTGCAGTCACTTCCACCCCTGCCTCTAAAAGTTTAAAGACATATTTATTGGACAAATACTCAGAAAAGAAGTGAAATTATGATAAGTAGGCAGATATATGAGCTCTGTGAGAATCACCAGGGCTTGATATTTCTAACATCATGAAAAAAAAGAAAGAAAGAAATACTCAACTCCATGTGCTTTAAGTCTCGGGATGATAAGAAAAATATGTTTTCGATGTTCCCCCTAATGTATTCAGTTCAATATGAGAATAGATATGTCTCATATTAATATTTAATTTCTAAATACTCATGAGCTCCATTAAAATTCTCTGGCAAAATCATACCAAGCTTTCCTTCCAGTGGACTCTAACCCAAGGTTTTGGCAGGCGCTGACTGATTAGCAGGTTTTTTCCTTCCCAATCACATTTCTTAGCACACCCAAATGGAGCTCTGGGAACTTACTGTTTAAAAAATATTCTTTACAAAGTATATTAAGGACTTGTTTAGACTATCTAAAGGAGATAAAACTCAAGGTAATGGAGTGTAATAGAAAAATGTGAAATGTCTTTAAAACAAGATCCCTTCATATGGAATTATCGTCTGTATTCATATCTATACATGAAAGTATGGAATTGAGCTAATTTTTCATATAGCTCAAGTCCACTATTAAAGAACCCTCTGTGGTATGTATATTGCATATGCACATGGAACCACCGCATGAATGGTCACATAAGCCACAGCTTAGTGACAACCATAACTTTCAGACATAATTGGTGTTTTCTTTCACTCATCACTATTTACGATTCATCGCATCTTCACTCAGAGAAAGGCTGATTAGCGAGAACTACAGAAGATGACTTTAAGCTCCAAACTTTGAAGAGCTCTCCTGAGACTAGGGAAAGGATCTGTTTGAAGTGGACAAGCGTTCACAGAGGCACTCATTCAATAATTGTTGCGTGGGGACAGGCAGATGGATAGATATCTTCTAAAGAGACAGGCCTACAATATTTTCAATGGTTAAGTGGCTCCAGATATTCTAGTCATATTAAAAATTTTTATTTTCAACACCTGAAACTAATATAACACTGTATGTTAACTATACCAGGATTTAAAAAATATATATATATATTTCCACTGTCACAAAGACAGCCCAGAATAAATATGCTTGATGCCCTGGTTAGGTCTTCTCTACACAGGACTAAACATAAGTGATCTTAATAAAGACTTTTAATAACAAAGATTCTTTCCCCTTCGTAATAGTTATTGGGAGCTTCTATATCTCCCAATAAGCAACTCTTCCTTCTCCCCCTCTACAAAAGAAATAATTAATATTAGTTTTAAAATAGGAATCTTCCTGAAACTCTCCCAGGACTCTGAATTAATCTTTAACATTGGCTAATTTCTGTCTTCTGTATTTAAGTGTCTAACACCGTAACATCAAATGTTTATCCAGGACAGCATCGCAGGTTTTATCTAAGGCTAAAATGAGCAAGCAAGAGAGAAGAAACTAGAAAGTTCTTTTAGAATGATACTGTGAATTCACAAGTTCAAGCTTATGAATACATTCTCTGATGTTAACAAACTTCATGCAATGCTTCTAAGAATAGCGTTATTTTGCTGCTTTTATACAGCAATCAATACAATCTAGAAAGTTGTATTGAATATTTACTTGTTCCATGTTAAATAAAATATCTACTATACCAAATTGAAGAAATTCTTACCACCTTCTTTAGTGCAAAGGTTGACAAGGTTATGCACTGTGTCCATCAGCTCCAGCTGCTGCTTCTGAAGGACACTATTATTGGTGGTGGCTCTGTTCAACTGTTTCTCCAGTTCCTGGATTATATACGTTTGACGAGTAACCAAGACTTGAAGATTCTCTCTCTCTTCTTTTAAGGTGTCCAACTCTTCCTTGTGCTTTCCTTCCATTTCTAAGATTTTATGTTCTAATAAACTATAAGGAAAAAAAGACAAGACTATTTTAAAAATGCTATACAAAAATATATGACTCAACTAGATCCTGAGTTTATTTAAAGTTAGAAATTTTAGTTAGGTACGTCACAATGGAAATATTTTATAAGTGACAGTCTCAGAATATACACAGATGAATGGATAAAGAAGATGTGGTGTGTGTATATAACACACACACACAATGGAATATTATGCAGCCATCAAAAGGAATGAAATCTTGTCATTTGCAACGATGTGGATGGAACTGGAGGGTATTATGCTGAGCGAAATAAGTCAATCAGAGAAAGAGATGTATCATATGACCTCACTGATATGAGGAATTCTTAATCTCAGGAAACAAACTGAGGGTTGCTGGAGTGGTGGGGGATGGGAGGGATGGGGTGGCTGGGTGATGGACATCGGGGAGGGTATGTGCCATGGTGAGCGCTGTGAATTGTGCAATCACAATTGCACAATTGTGTTGAATCACAGACCTGTACCTCTGAAACAAATAATACATTATATGTTAAAAAAAGAAGAAGATAGGAGGAAGGGTAAAATGAAAGGGGGAAATCGGAGGGGGAGACAAACCATGAGAGACTATGGACTCTGAGAAACAAACTGAGGGTTCTAGAGGGGAGGGGTTGGGAGGATGGGTTAGCCTGGTGATGGGTATTAAAGAGGGCATGTACTGAATGGAGCACTGGGTTATACGCAAACAATGAATCATGGAACACTACATCAAAAACTAATGATGTAATGTATGGTGATTAACATAATAAAAGTTTTAAAAAAGAATATACACATATAACATATTCTAATATGCATAATATGTTATTTATATAAACATTTAATACACATATTAATTATAGGAGTTACATATATAACATATCAAATAAAGAATTATTAGACCATTTGTTGTCAGAGCAATATTTATTTCCTGGGGTACATCTCATATCCAAGGTAGCTCACATGGACCCAAAGAATTTTAGTCTGTAAAAGTTATAGTATAATTTTCATTAAGGAAATAGGTCCAATAAGAAACTAATAGAAGAGTCCAGGAAAAATACAAACAAAATATAGAAACTCTTTTTTTAATTTATGTTGCATTCATTTGGGATTCTCAAAACATTAACAGTGATTAAATTTCACAATAGTTCTGTGGGGTCAGTTAATAGTATATTGATGCAGAACCCACAGGACCAGAAAGTAAGCTATACAAAATCTCAGTGAATTAGGTTTCTTGGGATTTCTGATGGTTGGTCCTGTATCATAACCACAGCTTACCTTGTCTCTCAACCTAAGTTTCAGAATGAGGGCTAAAACCACCAGTTCCCAAATCACTGCATAGATGGTTCTGCACAGGACGACCACAGACTGGTGGTGTGGTCTTACACAAAGACATGGGATTTTGCTCAGGGTGATGTAATCTTCAACTGAGAACCTTCCTTCTCTCAGAACTCTTCAGAAGATACTCCCTTTGCATATAGCACATTAAAAATGATAGGGAATGCAGAAGCACTCTTGGATCCTAGCAACTGACTGTAAATAAAATGTATTTATATTTTATAGAGTGTATAATATACTAAGATTCCTCAGAGGAAAGCCTGATTCAGTTTCCTCAGTTCCATTTTCAGAAGGTTCAACCAGTCCTTAGTTTACAAGGTGTTATTCAAATGTAACATACCAGACTGGGCACTTAATTTACCTTGGAGAAATATAGCACTGAATCACTCCTATAAGTTTGCAAAAAGGGGACTCCCGGGAATTTTTTAAATTTAATACTTAAATCATAAAATAGAGCATGTTAGAAGAGCCAAATTTTCCTACTTGATGTACTGGGGGATGAGCTAGAATATCTGATTGTCCTTTACACAGATTAAGAAGTGAGGAGAGAAGTGCACATGAGCATTCTGGATCTTTGCCAACCAACCTGTCTCAAGAAGATGTGGATCAGAATATGGCAGGGAAGTTTCCTGTTGAACCACATCTGAAAAACACTGGGATACTTCTATTCATGTTACCTTACTAATTTGCAACACCTTGGGTAGCATGTCTAGATTCACATATGAAAATTTCCACTGAGACCTGTCAGGGGCACCACTCTGACTTGTGTAAGATAAGAGAAGCCACATCTCTAGTTTGGGTTGCTCTCATTCCATGGGACACCAGTAGTGAAAGAAGCCCTACCCTGATTGTTAAGCAAACTCAATTTGGATAGAACCTGGGTATAGTGATTAGGGAAATTTGTGATGGCCATCTGTATTTTGAAGACATCTTTTGGAAATGAAAACCTTAGGCAAGGAAGTCAGGGTAAGATAAAAGAAACATCTGTAAAGAGTAGGTACGATTCACAGTCTTTTAGTGTTTTCTTCTGTGTCAATAATTTGCTGCTGAAGTTAGAGGTTAAAAAATAAACTAAATAAAACAAACAAACAAACAAAAAACCCTTCTCTATTGGTTAAAAAGTTTATCCAACCACTGGTTAAGTGATTAGTGCACTTGCTATGGAGTCAAAGCACGTTTTCTCTGTGTCTCATACTCTTTGGCCTTCAGATCTGAGAATTAACCACAACTGATGCCTTAGCTCATTCTCAGTTTACTTTTTTAATTTTTTGTTTTCCTCCTAAGGATCAGATGCAAGATGCCCATAATGTAAAGTCAGTTAACTTATAAAAAAAACTGTCTTTTAAATTCACAAGAGTTATAGTATACTACTAAGAAACCTTAAAATTAGCTGTTAAAATGATAAAAATAATGTAAAGATCAAAATTTGGATGATATAGTCATATAATACTGAATAAAAATATGAATTACCATTTTGTTCCTACAAAAAGATGAGCATTGGCCTTTCCGTTTTCCTAATCAGTAGGTAACATTCTGGCTTAGAAAATATGATGCTATAGCTATAACTTGCATTTATTGCTTGCTAAGTGCCAATAGTGTTCTCAGTACTATGTAAAATAGAAAATGATACCACTCCTACTCTAAGGATTTATTTTTAGAGAGAATACCTCAAATAAAACAATAGCAGCTGTAAGAAACTTTTGTTTCAGATATAATGCTGTTTAAAATTTTTTTAAATCAATGTTTCTCCACTTCTTTTGATACACTCCCTATTCAAGAGAGTATATACTTAAAGATGGCTACTACCTGCGATGTCAATAAAGGAATTTTGCTTGTTTGTTTTGGTTTTCAGGATAATTTGGAAAGAGCTGAAAATTTAAAGTTGATCAAAGCATTCCCTGATGTCAAAGAGAACAACTTGAAACTGGTTTATGGAAGAAAAGGCCTGCATTTCCTGAGTAAAAGGAATATGCACTTAACATGATGAAAAGAACATTAATTTTCATAATTCACTGAACAACCTTTAATGCACGTGACTATCAAAAGAAATCCAAATAGCCTGTCATCTTAAAATAGATATTTATGCAAAGTAAAGAAGGGACTGCCCACAGAAGTAAGAACCATGCTCTGCATGCATCACAGATACCTCACAGGGTTTGGAATGAAATATATTCAAGAAAAAATAATATGCATGAAAACTATTGGCAAAATGGAAACATGTCACACTGTTTCCCAAATGGCAAGTCTTGCCAGTTAACTATCTCTTCCATTTTCTCATCTCATTTCTTCACTTGGAGTTCCTTTAATAACTTTTATATTATAGTAATTATCTATTAAATTTATTAGGTATATCCTTTATATTAATCATAACTTTTTAGACTTTTTTGGGCAGGATTGATCTCTTCTAGGCCCTTCCTTTCATTTTCTCCAACACTGCTCATCCCTTACTTCCATCTTCTCTTCATATTTGGCTTAAAAAAAAAACCCAAAAACAAAAATTATTCTCTTTCCTTAGATACATCTTCTCATCCATTGGTTATTATCTACTTGGGAAGTCAGCCCTTCTCATTACTCCAAACTGGTCTGAATCCAAAACTTCCTTGCCAGAAAAAATTCACATGCTATCTCTATTAATCTCATTGTTGTAATATACCATTATAATTGTGTAGTCCTTTTAAGCCCTTATCTCCTTTGATTCTTAAAGCAATATAGAGATACAGACTGGGTAGATATCACAAGCCCCAGTTAATAAGAATCTAAGTATCTTGTCCAAAAATCATGCACTAATTGTGTCAGAACCGAGATAAAAAGTCATGTCTTCTAACTTGTCAGACTAGAAATGTGCCCATGACATCCCAGTGCTATGAAAACTAGCATGAGAGTCTCTCTTTGATTTAATATCTTCTACTTATTTCTTCTACCCATTTATATATTGTTAGGAAGCAAGACATCACTTTAACATCTCCTTAGTAATTGTCACTCTCCATCTGGTTATTCTGGGAGCTTGTCTTTCACAGTATTTTAGCCTCTTGATCTTTTACATGTATAAAAACTGTTTCTATGTCAAGCCAGTTTTTTTTTTTAATCTGAATTAAGATTTTCTTAAGCACCACTCTGCCTGAACCCCTCTGTCATTTAGTGTAATTTTATCCCATTTTTTCCTGGAGTCTTTTATTGGTTCTCTTACATTTTCCCTATCCAGTTCAATTGGAAGAGGCTACCTCAGCTAGATTCAGAGAACTACAAGTAAAGGTTGATAATATTACAGCTCCAGCATCCTAAAATTAGACAGGCAACATAGTTATATTTTCCCTGATGTTGTCCTGCAGCAATAAGTTTAGTTTAGACTTAAATGCATAATCCAAAATGTGGATGCCGATTCCAAACTCCAATGCACTGTTTTCTAGAGTGCATTCTGCATATTTTTATCAGGTGTACGAGTCCCACTTTCAAGTCTTTGGGAAGCTTAAAGAAACAGTTTTTATCATGATGCATCTTTTAGGATTAGTGTTCCATGGAACAACAATTTATGAAACTGTGTACCTATATCTATACAAATGGAGTTAGAAATCTGAAGACAGTATTTCTCACAGGATTCCAAATACTTCCTGTTTCCCATCTTTCTGGAAACACTCTGAGAAGAGACATGCATAAAAT